TAAAGACGAGGCTATTTATATAATTAAGAAATATTAACAGTAAATTTTCTAATATATAGTAAAATAATATTAATATACTTATCTATAATAATATTTTATTAAAAATGAGGCTATTTATATAATTAAGAAATATAACAGTAAATTTTATAATATATATAGTATTTATTTATAATAATATTTTATTAAAAATGAAACATATATAAATGTGGAGGACTATTTGATAAATAAAAAAGTTCAACTCCATTTTGGAGTAATGAGTTGGTTTACTCCATATTTGGAGTAATCATATTTGTTACTCCATTTTGGAGTGAGTTTTGGAGTAGGGTTGGAGATGATTTTACTGCAAAATGGAGTTTGGAGTGGGTTTTGGAGTGGGGTTGGAGATGCTCTAAACCGCTGCCCCATCAAATCCACAAACTTGTTGCTACTACATCTGTATGTGTATATAGAAACAAATACACGTCTTTGTATGAAAACAATAAATGCTTGTATACATATATTCTCCTCATGAGAATTTATGTATGTATGTATGGTGGCCTCGGGATCAATCACTTTGACAAAGTCTCGTGGCAAGATGTCAAGAAAAAAAAAGACAAAGTCTTGTGGGAAATGACTTAGTCGTATACGTCGTTTTCATGCTTTCTCTAATTTTTTGGTTTAATGTCAACTTCTCGTGTTATTTTATCTTATTTTTTTCTTATCACTAGTCACTACTTTTGGCCAGAGGCAGTCCATGAAGTATTATTTACTTCTCTTTTTTATTGGTGTATAGTGTACCAAGAAAATTAATACCATGCATAAATGTTTGACTATAAAATCTACATGCACCATTCTTTTCATTTATGATAGTATTTATTACCATATTCTTAGACCATATATATTTGATACTACTTCTTTTGAAAGAAGGGTTTTGAATATCAAATAAAGTTTAAATTTTCATATTTAGTATGAGGTTATCTAGTGCATATATCCTGATGAAAATTATTACTAACCTAAATCTGCAGAATTAAAGCTGAAAATCAGGTTGATTGGGGTTGGTTTGATTCTGTTTAATACAATGCAGACAATGAACCGGAAAAAACTCGGTCGATGAAGGGTTGTCTGGTCTCTTCAAAAGACAAACACGTATGTTCAAATAATTAAAATGGGATGCACAGAAAACTTTAAACCATTTGTCCATTTGTTTTCTTTCCACAAACCATTTGTCCAACTGTTCTAAAATAAAATAGAAAAGCATTAAATCACTTGATTAATTAAATTATCAACGAGAATTGTATTTTTTTAGAATTTTTTCCACTTTCACAACTTAGACCAGCTGGATATTGTTTTGCTTTGGCGACCAAAATCACACATCTTTTTCTGATAGTCCATTGTTCTCATCTCTCTCTCTCTCCATAAGTATATACTATTTTACTGTATTATATTTATAATAATGAAGTTAATCCACATGGGGTGAAGAGGGAAAGGCATAATGGAAAGAAAATAGAAAATAGGTTTCTCTTTGACTTGGGCATTTCCAATACATATAGCAATAAGTATATGTCGTCGACCTGTGATAATTATAGAACCAGCAGAACACACTTTTTATTTCTCTTCTCCTCTCTTTCAAAAAACAAAACACACAGAGTAGCTATAAGGATCGAGAGAGATGGGGAGGGCTCCATGTTGTGACAAGGCAAATGTGAAGAGAGGTCCATGGTCTCCTGAAGAAGATGCAAAGCTTAAAGATTACATAGAGAAACAAGGCACTGGTGGCAACTGGATTGCGCTCCCTCACAAAGCTGGTATTTATTTATATCTCATGGTTTGAATGGGTTGATTTATTGGAGATTTTTTTTATTTATTTGATGGTCTCTCTGGATTTTAAACCCTTGTTGGGTCTTGGGGCTGATTTTATTTATTTTGTATAATATGATGAATAAAGGTTTAAGGAGATGTGGAAAGAGTTGTAGATTGAGATGGCTAAACTATTTGAGGCCAAACATAAGACATGGAGATTTCTCTGAGGAAGAAGACAAGATCATCTGCAGCCTCTTTGCCTCCATTGGAAGCAGGTTAAAAAATTGTCTATATTCAACTTCTTTTTTTTAATATGAGTCTAGCTTCAACTTCAACTTCTAATACTAAAACTGATATGATTCCAGTATTAATAATCGGGGTGGGTATATCTGATCTTATTCATGTAAACTCTTGTTAAAATCGTGGGAAAGAAATGGAGAAATTAAGTGGGTATCAAAAAAGAAAGAGACTTTGCATGTTTCAAGGAAGTTTTAATTTATTTCTTTCTTATGAAAAATAATTGATTTTAGCTTTTGCATGCCTACATTTTTTGCCGCATAATTGCCTCCT